ATGGATGAGTGTACGGAACATCACTTGAGTGGTCTGATGCGCTCGTTCCGACTGCCCATCCGTTTGCGGGTGCCATGCGGAACTCGACTTCATAGTCGAACCGGACTCCGCCATGAGGGAAGTCCATAAGGCTGACATGCAGCGAGTGTTTCTGTCGCTCACAATGTCTTCCGGAACACCGTGGCAAGTAATCCAGCCGCCGCAGCCGGTGTGCAAGAGTCGTGCGAGCTCGGGGGCTGTAGCACGATACTTGCATGGAAGAAAACACGCGTACTTGCTCAAACGGTCAACGACCGTGAGGGTGCCGTCATGACCAAGGCAATCGCAGGGGAACGAACCTGTGACATCCATAGCAATGGAGAGGCGAGTTGCCCGAGGAATCGGCAACGGTTTCAGTTCGCCATAAGGGACATGAAATCTAGCTTTGTTACGATGGAAAATTGCGCATGACTCAATCTACCTCGTGGCCTCGTGGAGAACGTCGGGCCAGTGAAAACGCTGGCGGAGGCGGGCCAATGTGAGGGTTACGCCAATGTGAGGGTTACGCCAATGTGTGTCGAACGTCGTGCGTCGTGGAATTCGCCAAGAAGGCGAGTCCGTAAGATGCGATCTTGGGGCACCACTAAAAAGTCATTTCCTCTCGTATAGAGGACTCCGAGTAGGAACCYGTCGGAGATACGATAGTGACCAGCCGACGAGTGATCCGATGAGAGCCCCTCGTATAACGTGGAGTACGTCGGGTCGGACTTGTAGTCGTTGACAAAGTGTTGTTGCAAGTCGTCATCGAGTTTGAACGTCGTAGTCACTAGGGCGCAAAGATCAGGGCCTGGCCGTCGTGAGAGGGCGTCCGCTGCTCGGTTGGCGGGACTGGGAATGTGGCATGGATAAAAGTCAAACTGGTTGCTGCAATACATCGATCGACCGATCGTGCTTGTGACGATGTCCTGCGTTTTGTAGAAGGTCAATGGATTATTGTCCGTGTTCCATCTAAAACGCCGACGATGGAGAAGAAAGTCGCGCTGTCGTTTGAGAACGGTGACGAGCGCGAGTAGGTCGGAGTAGCTCTTTCGTCCTAGCGTCATCATCGAGAGTTGACGGAGGCACCTTTTGGGAGAAGTACTCGACCGGGTTCCATCCATCATGATGGCATTGTTCCAACACCGCACCAATACCGTATCTGGAAGCGTCCGTAGTCACCTGGGTGGGTAGTGTAGGGTCATAAATACGGAGGTCCCGCGTGGCTTGCATCACCGCCTTCAACGTATTGTACGTGCCACGGGTTGCGTCGTCGAACTCGAAATGTACCTTAAGGGACTAAAGTCTCGACAAAGGGGCTGCCACTTTGGAGTACGACTCGACGAAGCGCTGATAGTATCCACTGGCACCCAAACCTATGGAAGAACGTACGTTCGTATTGCAACGGGGTTCTGACCAATCCACGATGGCTTGGATCTTGTCCACGAAGGGCTGAATAATGTCTCCAATAACCGTGAATATGATCTCAGATACCATGTCCCATAACCAATGGACGAAGAGAGGAGAGGGGGTAATAGAGAGTTAAGAGGCTGGAAATGTAAGTATCCATCAATGACCACAAAAATA